ATCTATCTATCTATCTATCTATCTATCTATCTATCTATCTATCTATCGTAATCTTGGCGATATTCGTATGATATTTTTGTGATATTCTGCCTTTTCCCGTGACAAGATGAAATGATCAATGTCAGTAAATAACCAGTTTAATATTCATGTTTAGGCATCAAACAAGTCAAACACCAAGGAAAGGCTAGTACCACGTGTAGCAATTGTGAAATCAGATATGCCAAACAACCTATTTGTAAATGTCATTTGAGTGTAATACTTTGAAAAGCTTCCAGAAACCATCAGGAGCTGAATGCTAAATGAGATTCCACCCTTAGGCTCTGAGCGCATACAACTGCTTTCAGCTATAAAAATACTGCTAAGAGACAGAAAAAATGTAATTAGTCTAGAAGACCTGCAATGTGAATGATATTCTGTTTTTTTTGTTCCCTAGTTGTTATCCTCTGCTTCGTGACTGTTCTGACAACCTCCAACTTTACCTTACTTTATCTTACAATGAATCAGTGGTGATGGAATATAAGGCTAAATAAAGCAATATCATCCAAATAGATCAGCCTGTCTAATTTCTGATCAGCAGAGATTTGAAAATTCCTTCTTTGAAATGTAAGCTTTATTAACTCTTCTATCTAATAAACAAACAAAAGCTCAGTATTGTTATCGACAAAAAACTGAAATGATCAGCATCTCGATCTCAGAGCAGAATGATCTCAGCTGATATCATGGTTTCTAAATATTGCTAAAGTCAGGTTTAGTAGAATTGTGAAATAAGCTTGCATGGAACAATGCTCTTGTACAGTTGCTGCCAGATTTTATTTAAATTAGCTTTACACCCCCATGAATATTCATGTTGAAAATGTTCACAAAAAATCTGAGTGAAGACAGTGTCTTTAAGAATAGAACCTGATAATACCTAATAGACCATCATTTCCCCTTTTTTACTTGACCGATTGCATAGACTGCATGACCAATCGTTAAGTCTGTCAAAATGTCAACCAGTAGGAAGAAATTCATGTCATGAGCCGCAGGGGGCAAGAAGAGACATCATTTTAAACTGGTAGCATGTCACTGTGTGATCGCCAAAGCTAATTCAGTAAGATATAAGTCATTTTTAGTCTGTTGAAAAAAAAAAATGCTGGAGAATACAAAACATGACACAACAACTGTCGAAATGATGCTTGGGCTAAACTCTTAGCCAATGTCCAAGCTATTTGTGATCTCCAATTTATTGTCTCCATTGTGCATGCGCTCTCAAGGACAGCTCCTCATCTGTTGTGCCAGAATACCCAGTGCAAGGCATTCAAAAGCAAGTCTGCTTATGCTGTGAAAAGCAAGGACGTTTCTTTTTCGCACATACCGTTTTTTCTCATCTGTTAAGTGGTGTACGGACGGTGTAAAAATGAGCCTTTTGTCCTTAAAAATGTTATTCAGCTTTTTAGTTTAATGTGCTGCAAATCCAAGGAGCGGTACCTGCGTACGTATTTCAGCCACGGTTCTCAGAAACTCGTTTAGTCACGTCTTGTTACGGTGACGTCCGCCATACTGTTAAAATAGTCCAAGGATGAGAAAAAAACTCAAACTAGAAAGAAAACTTGCCAAGGTAAAGATATGCATCACCTCATTATGCTCCAGTGTTGCAGCCAACATGAGGCCTTGTGTGGAAAACGACAGCTATCTCCTGGTGGGGCCGCGGTGCAAGTGCTCATTACTTTACCTGGTAAGATCATAAATCTAGCCCCTTATCTGTTGGGCAAAGCAAGGACTAGAGGCCATACAGCTAATTCCTGTATTCATCATTTGTTTTTAAATAACAGCTTTAGCACATCATGCCCTCCATGAGCAAAAACTGGACAGCAAATTGTACGTCTGCATGAGGAATGACGCTGATATCCAGCAAAATTAGGCAGCAAGCAGCTTTTATCCAGGAGCTTTTGTAGCTACAAAATATCTCATTACATGACCAATCTCTCACAAATCATGGGTAAACTAAACTCCGGGCGCTGAGCTCTGGAAACCACATTTGGATGCAAAAACAGGGATCTGGAGGATTGAGATAGGTTTTATAGTTGCACTGCATCGAATCCTTCCCGAAAACGTTTTCCAGCGATTTCGGAAAACATTAATATCAGAAAGATAAAACTTGACAAGATGATTTGCAGGTACTCGGAAAAGTCAGGAAAAACTTGGGAGAAGGAAAAACTTTATATATTAGAATGAATTTTTAAATGACATGCACTATGATGGTCCGAACAGTTTCCATCTGATGTAAGAATGTAGTCTCAAAAGGTGGCAGATGTACTTGTCATTTGTATTAGCAGGTCTGATCTCATCCTTATTCTGAGGTAAGGGTGGAAATTTTCATGCTCATGAAGGAAAGCTGCTTTACAAACCGCTGAGTCATCTGCTCTGGTATTCTTCAATATTATACCAGGATCCTGGAGGCACAGATCTCAAATGGAACTCACCAAAGTTTGCAAATACGTTTCTCTTTTTTATTTGCCTTGTAGCATTGGTAACCTAGACCTTCTCATACTAATCTGATTGAAGGACCAAGAGTCTATTTTACCTTGCAAACGTGTAAGATAAATGACTAAAGTGCATAATGTGTTCGAGGGGTAAATTTGCCTCATCGGACTTCTGTAATAATTCTTCTGCACAGAGTCACCGACTACCTCAGATTCATAACTAAAGATGCCTGGGAAACTGAGGGTATCTCAGCAGTGAGTATTTGCTCTGGATGCTATTACACTCTGCAGAGCGTGAAAATTTAATATCAGACAGGATGTCAGGCGCCACATTTCATAGGATTATTAGTGCCTGGTGGAACCGAGGTCCCTTGTCATGTATGCTGCTCTCCAGGTTTCACCGACGGAACAAAATATTTACAAAAGAGCAATCATGATCCTTGCATGGCAAACAACTAATACTGCTGCCCACCAGAGCTGTTTCGACCATTAAATAATGATAAAAAAAAGAGCTCACTCCAGGTTAGATCTTGAATTAACAGTCTGTATGCAGCACAATCGTGTGTGCAATCCCAAAAAAAAAAACACGAAGGACGTGCTCTGATTACTGAGGAAAAACATCAAATATGGTATCAGCAGGCAAGCAGCAGAGTCATAAATGTGACAATAACAGATTTTTCACCTGCCTTCAACCTTTTGCCTTCTTGATTGAATCAGTTTCAGAACTGATAAAAAATTAACTGTTTCCCCCAGTGGTAAAAAATGGAGAAGTGAATGTGATGCTCTGAACATTGCAGCCTGCCATCTCAAACAGGGATTCAGTCCGTTTATAGAGTTGTGAGATGAAAATTATTTAGAAACTCCACTCTGCGCCAGAATGGCAGCATGCATTAGCATGAATATTGATTCCATAATCATTGTTTTGAAGCTGAGCTCCTGGTGGAATGTAGACATGTTTGATCACAACAA